AACTTTGTTTAATAACGAAAACCATAGATATTTCTTGATCCGTGTTTCATCACTTGTTTAAACAGCAAAAGGATTAACGTAAGGTAAATCCGAGTAAATTCTTCGAAGCAGACTCGGTCAATGTACGGCTGCACTGTAATCTCTTACATGATTTTCGACGTTAATTAATAGCTTGAATTTCCGTGGAATATCTGCTTGGCGGGCTCACGTTAATATTAGTTAGATATTCTAGACGGGTGAAAATGAAAAATCGAACAATCGCGCAGCGTTTCCAGAAAGTCGAGAATTATATGAACAAATTTAAAGGAGCGTTTATTGTTGATCCAAAGTTGTGACTCGTGCTTCCAACAGTTTAACATCCTCATCTACGGTCGGGGATCCTTATCAAGAGGAATTCAATCAACGAAGTGTTAAGGCGTGTAGCGATCAACGATCCAAAGTAGAAGTTCTTGTGCACAAAGTACACGGTATTCCCTGCGAAGCGATAATCTACGCTTAGCAGCTTAAAGGGGCTTTCCTCCAAAGGCTTAAACGTGTTGGAACAAATTTTGCATATTTCGCGTTCTAAGCAATAAGGATAACAGCGACGCGCATACCGGGTAACAAGAACACGCTCTACTCAAAGTAGACACGTGACTGTGACTGGCGCTGAACGCGCGCGTCCCTCTTAAATTACTTCGTCCTAAATACTTCATTGACATTTTGGCCGAAGCTCAGCTTCCGACAAAGACGCATTACAACGGTGCTTACTCGTATTCAGAACACGTCGGGATTTAGACTGTAGAGGACTTGTAATTAACGGCGCGTCATCGTAAATCTACGAGATCAACTCGTTCCGTTCGAAATTTCTGTTTCAAGCACGGTCGTTGAAAAGCGTCACACGCACTGAATAGCGGTTCGAACGTATCAAATGTGCGAATTGTTTTGTTTTCAACAGAAATCGTCATTTTTTTTTTTATGACAGAATTTGATATAGAATTCCACTTCGACTTGTTCTTGGTCTGTATTACATGCCTCATCCTGTACCACCGAAGATGAAGATGTAGTACCTTTCATGGAGCATGGAAAATAACAAACCAGCACGTACACCAAACGTACATGGAAAGTGAGTTAAAATAGAAGTCAAACGCGTAGGTGGAGATACATGCTGGAAAGAGAGCATTGGGAGCTATTGAACGCAGCGTGCTAAATGCATTGAGTAAAGTAGGATTGCAGAGCAGTTATTGCACTCGGTGAGAGGCCAAAGTTGTGTAATTTAACAATCAACAGGTTGTGATCAATCGCGTCAAACGCTTTTGTAAAGTTCGACCAAATAGTACATGGACTACGAAGAGAATCGACAGCACGGAGGACAGTATCACAGATGTGCAATAACGCTATTGTAGTACTCTAGCTGTTACGAAGCTCAGATTGGAAACCCGACACAACATCAGTCGAACCAATAAACCTTTGTGGTTGCAAGGTAGAAAGCTCTTCGAGGACTTTAGAGAGAAAGGAGTTCAGGAAATAGGACTACAAGAATTTAATGAAGAAGAATTAAGTGTTTTGGTGACAGGATGGACTGTGGAATGTTTCCAAACTGTGGGAACTGGAAACAAATAGCGAAGCTAAACCTGGTTGAGGCGATTCTTTTAAAGACATCAAAAGTATCCCGTATAGAAAACTATCGAAGAATAAATTAACATTGAAACAGGAATTCACGATAGAATGTTCGGTTAAGGATTAGTATTCCTTTATATGGAATATTAACTTGGCGTCTGAGGAGATTTTCCTTGTCTCGAGGCACGCGAGCAATAAAATTTCGTCATTTGCGACCAATAAAAGCAAACTTTATTTCCGTAATTCAACCGGGATCTCCTTGTCACGTTCTTTAAATTGAAATTCTTCTCCGATATGTCTGTATTCTTCTTGCTCAAGGAGTGAGACTTCTTTGAGAGTCAAGGGTGACAGCATTTCCAACGTTTAATGATATCTCGAGGGAAACGAAGAGGTACAGTCAAAGCAGCCCTCGAAAGAGAAGAAAAACGCGCATCTATCGAACGTAATAACGACAAACGCGAAGCGTCTCTGGGGTTTTATGAGATGGCGTGTTTCTTTGTCGCAGGAAATACACTTCTCTCTGAAACGTGCCGGTCCAATTTATTGTACGCTATAATTTAAGGAATATTAAAGTATAAGTGTAAGTATACGTAAAGTTAAGTTCGATTTTGATTTTATGTTTCTAAAGGACGCACTAAAGGACGGCGAGACCAGTAGATTTCTCCGAAACTTGTCATTGCCGACACCTTTAAGAGAATAAGTAGTAAGTGAAAGTAAAAATGGAACGAATTAATTTTTAGGTTTACTTGGAATAAAAAGGGAGAAACGCTGGCGTGAACAGCTGAAACAAATGTTCTGGAAATTTCATAATTCAAGCGATACTCTCTTCGTATTCCATTACCGCGTAACTCGTCAGAAACTGGCATAACATTTTAATTATGAAGCCAAGCAAACACGTTCCAACGATACAGGATAATAATCGCTCAAGTTCCGCGCAACGCTAACGGACTAATTACAAACTTACTTTTCGCTAATTGCTTCTGCAGTGCTATTTGTTTGCACGACTATATCGCTGCTTAAGGCCGAGGAAATTGCCCGTGAAGAATGCATAAATTATGCACCTGGTCAATCATGCATACGCAGTGGCGCGAACAGAAAATCTTGCTGTCTTTTTTCTTTCAAGCGTTCATTATTTTTGTCGTTGTTTCTTTTTCGACGCCACAAAAATGCCCTTCGCACCGGAAATAAGTGAAAAGCAGCACGACGGTATTAAATCTCCATCCTCAACGCGGCTCGCGACATTTTCGCGTTCCGACGTACCGGGTCTTCGTGACGGCCGAAAAATACCGCGAAAGTATAACTCAAATGCGACCGTTCCCAGCTGAACGCGGTAAATCATTTGGAGTTGTCCTATTAGCATAAAATATTTCCAAAATTATAAAATAATGACTACGCGTGGCGAGCAATTTATTCAACCTTTTTCAATATCCTCTTGCGATCATTTTTAAATTAAAATGGTGTCTGTTTATCAAACGCACGATCTGGCAGTGGATTGAACATTGATGTAGGGATGTACACTCAGGAGTTGATAAACATTTTGTTTTTCACGGTAAATTGCCAATATCTTCCGGGCGTTTCATAAATATCACGCATACACCTGCCTCTTGGAAAACATGCGACCGTTCGTTACTGTCTGTACGTCACGTTCGAAACGTAACTCGCGTATCTCACCGGTCGTATATTAAAGGGCAGAAGGAATACCATTGTATCGTGCGCACGTCGTATATTTCATTCACGTTATGGAGTCATAAAGTATCGATAGGCCGGTCGTGTTGTTCGCCACAGTTCTACGTACTGGAAAGTAAGCGTGCAGCATCTGGGTCGATACAGGCCGATATACAGAGGGGAAACGCAACTTAATACTATTACCTAATGCTATCTGCGAGAATTCGAAGTGCAGGGCCGGTCGATAGCCATAGGACTGAACAGATTTGCGATTTATACCGCGATTCTCTCTCGCGAATGAAACGTTCATCCACTACCGTTTGATTTGAGCTTGTGGGTACACGGATAGAGTGGTAGAAGTAAAAAAATTGCATTGGCAATATCGATGTTACATTGGGAAAACAGAGAATTTACTTGATAACAAACTGAGAATTCGTTACGTAGATAAAACTGAGTTAGTGGATCCGATACTTGATATTGGCGATATGTACGAATAGCGAGCGTAGGTTGTACCGAGATGGGAGGGTGATGGACCATGGATTGTTATGAACAAAATTGTAAAGAAACTTCAATTTTGATTTCAAAGTTCGATTTCCTCCACGTCGAATATCCACGTCCATTTTTTCGTGCCGAATCACAATCTTCTCAATAGTGTTACCTATTACGAAGCGTCCCATGTATCCGCGCCAGATAAAAGAAGCGTTTTACTCCGAATTTCGTATGCAACGAAATACGAACCCCTTAAGAAGTATCCGCAGCACAGAGAGATTCGGCATTAACGATAGTACTTCGGTTACAGTACTTTCGTCAATTCGCGGTCCGAATACCGAGCGATTCAATCGAATCGAGAAAAGCTGCGGTCGACGAGCATCGCGGCAAAGAAACTGGTACCTTTCGGAGAGGTCTAACGGAAAATGGGGACGAGCGTGTACGCGGTCGAGCGATAGGCGCGTTTCGTCCGCAGCTGAATTTCGAAAGCCAAGCACGGTTGTTCCGAATAAATCACGGGTTCGCTCGTTTCAGTCGACTGCAAAGCGCAGGTCCACGGCCGGGGCGGATACGCTCTCGAGAATAAAAAGGCGGATGAAGATGCGGAGGCTTAAAGGGAGGGTAAAAGAAGAAGCGGAGCGGCCGGAATGCAAAAGAGGAAAGATAAAGCTCGCCTTTTGATTCCGACGAAACGCTCTTTGATTCGCAGAGAAAGCTCTTGGAATGCCTTCTCCTGGGCGACAACGATTCTCCAGGAGGCTCGTGGACCGTTTGAAGCCGAAGATACGGCTGGAAATAAGAAGACGATAAATTCACGGGGCGAAATCGAGAAGGGCTCTGGCAACGGCCACTGGAATATTAGGTTCTGCGGAAACTTTTCTATGTTTCTTTTAACCTTTACATTGATAAAATAAATATACGTGTACAATACATAGATTAAATGATATGTTAATTTATTATTCCTCCTGAAGAACAGCGAGAACTTTCTATAGAGCCTGATACTTTGTTTCGTTGTAATAGATAGCGCGTATTATTTCATTACCAACAGCGTGCAGTTGTTTCACCGGCGCACTGGTAATTGCACACCCGTTTCCACGCGTTTCTGGTGATTTGCGTAGAATGCCAGTGCGAATCGGACACCATTAATTTGCGTCGAAACAATAGCTCTCCGATGTAATGAAAGTTAATTCCAGCGCCGTGATTCGGTGGCGAATTTAATCTTCACAGTTCGCCTATTCATTTTCCAGGTAAACGGATCTTGGAGCCTGCCAGGGTTTGTGTGCGATTTTTACATCGCGATGGACGTCACGTGCAGCACCAGTTCCATCTTCAATCTCGTAGCCATCTCCATAGACAGGTGAGGCAAATTAAGTTTAATGTTTGTAATAAAGCTTCTTCTATACTTCAATTTATCGAAATCGACACTGAACCGCAACGGAATATAAATTGCACTGCATTCGCGATACGTGGTATCGCAGAAGAATTTGTAACAGCGATTGCCAAGCAAAGAGAACACCCAAAAATCGACGAAATGCGGTTGACTGATTTAACCAGTTTACGTGACACGGGTAACAAACTCGAAGGTGGGTGAAAAGAACGGGTCGAGGTTGCTTTAGCGACCGCGGAACAAATTTGGCGTCACAATTCTCGGTAAATCAAATTTCCCAACGTCTCGACTTAAACAGCCACGAATAAGTTTGGAATTCAAACCGAACCGATTGGTAGCGCGTTGCTTCCTCTAAAAAATGCTGAACGCTCGCGGACAAGTTTCATGTTTCCGAGGGAGCTGGAGCTGGAAAAACGAAGCAAGCCGGATCGTTTCCTTGAAGTTACGGAAAATTGATAGTATTCATTCGACATCGCGGGGACTGTGTACACTAATATGAATTGCGTTTTCCGTTTTTCTTTTTACTTTTCCTTCCCACGAGTCGCATTGAACGCGGGACCATAAATTCCCAACGTACAAGCTGAAACTAACTTCGCGATACCGTGTCGCTCGTAGTTTGAAGCGGAAACCCGTTCGACCGGAAATGAGTTCGGACGAGTGAGTGATACCGCACTTCCCCGGATCCGCATGTTAAAATATGCAAGCCCCAATGCAGAGAAATGAGGATACTCTATTAAAGACCGTCTCGTTTTTCCTTCGAAACCCACGGAATCTGAATCCTCCCAACGCATTGTACGTCTTCCAGAAATTCTCACGGGTGAGCGTTAATTTAGCGATTCGATTAATCACCATTTCTTTGTGCTTCTTTTACGGCTGGAAATACGTAATCCTTGCGATTAAAAAGGGCGTAGCTGGTTACCGCTTACAAAGCGTGGCTATGAATATTTATTTCTGCTAAACCGTTGCCTCGGTATTTAATTCGCAATTATCCAGAGATGTCAAATTTTTGTTTGCTCTTTTATCAAAGGTTTGAAAAGGAAGTACGACGTTTACCGAGGTTCGTATTAATTCAGGACATAACTTAATCCAACGTCGATTCGAGGTAAAACGACGTCGATCGAGTCAAGGGACACTGTACCATGCGCGAAACTAATTTAAATTGCAGATACATCGCGGTGACCCAACCGATAAAGTACGCCAAGCACAAGAACAATAGAAGAGTTTGGATGACGATACTGTTGGTCTGGGCGATATCGGCCGCGATCGGCAGCCCGATTGTTCTCGGCTTGAATAACACTCCTGACCGAATACCGGACCAATGCCTCTTCTACAATACAGACTTTATCATCTACTCGAGCCTATCCAGCTTCTACATACCCTGCATTATTATGGTGTTCCTCTATTACAACATATTCAAGGTAAGAATTATCGAATATTGTTGGCAGATGCGGAGGGCTTAGAAATCTGTTCACTGGCCCGTACGTGAACATCCCTCTTCGGCCCTCCCACAGATGAAAATAGCCTACTATTTACGGTGCCTCTAGTCATACTAAAATAGTTATCAGTATTGTCTAAAAATCACATTTTCTTTGTCGCGTTTGTATCCAATTAAGGCAATCTGATTCCACGCGGAAAAATCACAGCGATCTTTTTTCTTCCGGGCAACTTGTTAGTTTTTTGCACAAGTAGCTCGATTAACTTTATTGCGGTGTTCTTTTCTGGACGAATTCAACGTCAGGAATACGTGTAAAAAGCGCGCAGTCTCGTATCATCCCTATAACGACGTCATACGTCGAGGGGTAAAATCCCCGAAATTATGCAGATATAATTTTAACGCCAGTTGGAGCAAAGTGTACCACGGATTCGGGATGTTTCGCAATTACGCTGCGGTCGATCGTAAATACGTTTGTTCCGACATTTTACGCTCACCGAGATTCGCACACTGTCCTGTTTACACGGTTTCCTTCGCTATTGCGGTATTAATTCCCAATGACGCAGAATGTCTCGACGCTAGACTGAAGCACACCTTAAAGTACTCCTTAAGCATGGCGTGATAATTACATTCCTCGCTTTACACGTCACGGACGTGAAAGCGCTCGAAGCTTCGCGTAACGTGAAATTGCATACTCGGAGCCATCCGAGCCATCCTTTTATGGGAAAATCCTCTTTCTTACATGCTGCTATCCCGATGTATGAAAAGTTAACGAATCGCATCGTCACGATACCGTTGATCGCGACTCGCCGATCCGAACGTTGACGAAAAATAAAATGAGTGGTTGAATTAGAGGGATGTAGTTTATTGTATCGTTCTGGAATAACTTTGTAATGGAAAGAGTCTGTACCAATTTTGCATTGTTCGTGTATCGATTGTTACTCGTTTGATATTTTTGCCCTTTCTGAATAGTTCTTTGTCGGAAAATATCAATGGTCAGGTTTGTAGTCTCGAAAAAAGCTGTTTGCTGTTTTAGTGTGGAATTGTCCAATTAGCAGTCTACCAACGGAACATTAATGAGATTCTCATGCGAACGACAGCTGCCTCGCACAGCCTGCTGAGGAATTATTCAATCGTTACCAAGATCGTTCGTAAATTTTGATCATATCCCGTCGCCTTGTGCCGTAGTCGTAAAAGCATCGTCGCGTGGTTTAATGTCGGGAGAGGAACGATTTCCTTCGACACATCGATGTAGAAGTATGAAATATCTTTCTTTTATATGTAGTCGTAACACGATCACGGAAGGTTGCGTTTCTCATAATGCACCGAGCATCTACAACGGAATTTCCTAATATATCCCGATGCGGAAAATATTTTCCCACGGAAGTGTCGCGATAAATCCCACTGTTACGATATGTGTAGTCGATAATGGTTGGCGGACGGGTTATCCGCCCGCGCGTACCATAGGAAGATTTATTTCACGCGTTCGCCGTCCTCGTTCCCTGATTTATCCTAAAACACCGATTTCAATCTACGAATAAACCATACCGTTAGCCAGAAAACAATCTACTCGGCGCGATCATTTTCGTAATAATCATCGCGTTTAGTAATTCTTTTATGGGCATAGATATGCTTCCCTCGCGCCCTGATTTATACTGAATCAGCATTTTCAATTTAACGTTTCCAGGCGTTGCGGAACAGAGCGAGGAAAGCGAGGGCCAACAGAAAACCGAACCTGGGCGATATAAAACCCGGCAGCATAATCGAGAACATCGCCAATACGCGCAGGTGAGTCGACAGCTTCGCGTCGATTTCGCTGTTCTATTCTTGAATTCACGAGGAATTTTCTAGGCGTTCCTTTAGCATCAGCTCCGGTTAAGGGAGAAAATGAATGGCAATTCTTTCACCGAGTTTCGAAAATCCGCGAGAAATTATAGTCACTCCGTGCCAGCGTAAAGATCCCTGGCGTCTTTTATTGCTAGTTCACGCAGAAATATCGATGCAATAAGTAATCCTTTGTTCGAAATTCTGCGAATCGTCCACGAGTTTGTCGACGGAGAACAGTCGAAGCCAATACTTCGTTGATTAAGAAAAGTGCATGCGTCGTTCTCAGGGATGGTCGGCTACGCGATAACGCCCACCTCTGATCGTTCTTTTGCATGACACAGTCTATGGGGAAAAATGCTGTTCCAATGTAAACTTATCGCCAAAAATATCTACTTGTGCTTTAATCGTGCAAGTCGTATATTCAACGCATGTTGCATGATTCCCATGAGAATGAATCCGAAATTCCACGCAAAGAAACCCAATCTCGACTTCCTTTATAGATCCCACAGGGTGGTTCGCGTAGAATAAAATCGCTTGATGCCCGGAGGGTTAAGTGCGGGGAATATATTCGCGAGTGGGTCGCGCGACGTCTTCCTCCACTTCAGCCAAAGACGAACAGTCTTCATTTGGAATGTGTCGCGTACTCGAGTAGAGTACCATTTTTTTCAATTTTCGCTCGTATAACTCTTGCATTCCAACGAGACGATTTCTCACGGAGATTGGCGTTCCCGAGAGATAGAATATGTCGCCAGACGAAGGAAAAAGCTCGCGTGGATAAGAAAGGCACGTAGACGCGAAAGGCTAAGGCGAGGTTAAGCCTCGGGCATCTACGGATAATACGCTTTTCTCGCGAGCAGGCTTCATTTCCGTTGTCCCGAGGTCGGCGCACTTGCCTTGAATAGCCAACTACTTCGCCTTCGATTTAATTGCCGGCTTTTGTGCCCATCTGTTCCCAACTGTCATACGTTTATTCATCGGCGAGCCCTGTTGGATCCTAGAGCCTACCGCTTTTCTTGTAAACCGATATGGAGGCACGTAGACTCGTTTGTCGGTGCAGATGATTTAAAACCCACTCCGCTCTATTTTGGTTTCTTCGAAAATAAGAGAAGGATCACCGAAGCGAATGCGTTCGCGGAACGCAGAGCTGCATCTGGGAAAATAGATCGTTTTCCAATTTACATTATTCTTCCAGTAACTATTTACTTATCAGGACTCCTGATTCCATGTTCTATAGATGTAGTCTACGTTCGTTTCGATACCCAAGATGAAAAGTCGATTTAATTATTATTTACATTGCGTATTGGAGTGGCGTTGTCGAAAGTGCTTACGAGCGTCGGTAGATGTAATTGATTAATATATTGTAGCGAGGAGAAGTTCGAGAGTGTTTACTTTTTGCGTTGCTCGAAGGGGAAAAGGACTTCCAGATCAGACTCATTGATGCGATCGGATTAAGAAGTTTCTGATCCGCGCGAAAAGTCTGTCGGATCTCAGCGCTATCGCCTGGCACCAGGGATGTTAACAACGACACAACGGTTCTCTAATTATTATTTATAGGTCTTTCCCAGGTCGCCGCAGTTACACAGCACAATGTATAAACACCGTCGATAAATTAGACTTAGATGTTTGTTGCGACGGTCACATTTTGGCTGCACGACCTCGTCTTTTCCCTCGGGTCCGATGTATTCAACATAATCTCGAACTCGCGTCATGCTCCACAAATTCTTCCTCTTCCTATTATTCTCCTGTTCTCCCGTGCCCTGTATCTTCAGCATCAACGTCGGCGCACTAGGCAAACTAAAATCTGATACGTTCACAGTGCATTTCATCCCAACAAAAATTTGTATACAACTGTTGTTTTCCGCCCTAGGTGTTTATACCTCCTATATAATCTACGCACTGTCTCGGGGCAGTGGTCGATCTCGTAAGAAAATCGCCTTACGCAAGACCTCCGTAAACAAAGGCGGTTCGCAAAGTTGTCCCCTGATTCCCAAACAAGACCGCTTCATCCCGCACGAGAATACCCATAAATAGCCCATGGCTGTGTTACGTTCTTAGATAAGGATAATGGTTTCAGATATTAACCCTGTCGGATGTTAAGTTAACGTTGAAATTTCCCGCACCACCGAAACTTCGCCATTTGTTTTCGCTGGCGCGCCGCGCGAAACTTCGGAAAACAAAATTATTAATTGTTTTCACGTGCTTGTATCGAGTATCAACGGCGAGAATTTACGACGGGCAAACTCCAATTTACGACTACGGAGTTCCGAAGAGTTGCGATCTCTAAATGGAACTGCGAATACCGAGGCTCTCGCCTATTCGGCCTGGAACGTCATCGGATACCTGTAATCCGATGACTGGAGCAGGCATGTCTATGGATGTGTTCATATTATCCGGATAATACTACAATCGAGTTTCGCCGATAATTTATACGCACATCTCGCGTTGATTTTACAGGCCACGACTCGAACGTGCATGCGTTATTCGAATTGGTAAACGATGTTCGAACTCCCGGTAACCGGTAACGGATTGATACTGCATATATCAGATTCGAACGAAAAATAAATACGTGGACATTTTTATATAGTATCTTAATTTGTGTTGAACTATATTTTTAATACCTCAGAATATAAATCCATTCACCCCCGCTCCAACTTCCCGTAGGGACGCCACCCACCGAATCGCGAAGATAACTTTCAACGAAGTAGAAGGGTTCCTTTGTCCGTCAGCAAAATTCCGTGCGAACGATCGTCAGACGCAAGCATAATCGCTTTGTGCATGATAAATTAATTTTTCTCCTTTGCCGGATTAACGTCGCCCGTCGTCGAGGAATACTAAAAGCATGCTAAGTGTAGAAGCTTTTTTTTTAGAGGCTTTTGACTAAGATCACGTAGTGGGTATTCTGTGGCAAGGTTTGCGGAGACCGCGCTGGGAGCAGCAGCCCTCGTGGCTCCCGGCATGGAAGAACCGACGAACACCGCGTCTGGGAGCAACGAAGACGAAGACGAGACACCCCTTGATCCCGTCGTGGTCATCTCGAACGACAAGAGCACGGAGTTCTTTTTAGCCACGGTCGTCGAGGAAGCAGCGTAAGAGTCCAATAAACTTCTCGCATTCTACCCGAGACGAACATTCGCGCTAAATCGTTGTTATCTTTCAATTTCGCCCGTTTTCTCGGCACCTTCGGATCCCTGTAAAATTGTTACGTCCGCGATTTAACGAGTACTATTTATATCGGGGACGTACACGGCCAACAAAAGTCGATATCGACGTTAAGGCGGGTCGTTTCGAAGACAATGCGCTTCGACGTGGATGTGAAACTTGAACTCCAACGACTGCCTAGACTTTGTATAGAGAGGAATATATAGGTCTTGTTAGAAGTTTCGTTTCGTGGAAGAATGGATATTTTATTATTTTATTTTCTTCTATGTACAGTCATTCCCATAAGTATTCGTACCCTCTATATCTATTGACGACATTTGTCTAAATTAAATGACAGGTTTGGTGCTTCCTAATAAATGTTTCATTAAAAATATTATGATGAAAAATTCATTTGGAAACATCAAATCTGTCATTTCATTCAGACAAATGTCCTCGATAGAAATAGAAGGTACGAAAACTTATGGAACTGGCTGTATTTTAAAAAATGCGCCATGAACTTATGAACTACAACGAGCAGCTGCCTTGGTGAAATGTTAAGAAAAATTGGTTTTCCGAACACCCCGACTAGTTCTTATAATCGAGCGTTCTATTGCGTACAAGGAAAGTGCCGAAGCGTGCAATTGTTTCCAGAAGGTCGTGAAAAGGACGCGGTATTGAAAAGTTGAGGAGCCATTCCCCCAAACCGCGAAAACTTTCTCGACCAAATGAACTCAAATCGAAACAATGGTGCAAGAACAAAGTCCAAGTCGGTTGAAACCGTTTAGCATTCAGAGTCTTTATGGTACTCAACGGATAAAGGACGAATATTTGATTTCCTTGCTCATTGGACGAAAGAAGTTTTCGGTTTCTTTGGAGGACGAAAGTCGATCTAAAGTTACATCTTAATTGGTTAGATTTGAGAATTAAGATAGCGTCGGTTCTTGTATGTCAGGACTGTATCTCGGTCTGGCATCTTCTGGAATTTCGCGAGCCACCGACTAATTGCAGTTCGCCCTCTATTAAGGAAGATACTCTGGTTAGATTTCACGATTAGCCTCCCGCCGTGTGACATTCTCAAAATGTCAGGTGCTAATCGAACGAATCGCAGGTCGTTCTTTTAATCCGATCCCTGGAACTGTTATTGCAGGAGAGGCACGCCAATTCATTGGCGCGAAGCGTGATCCGCGACCGCACACGATTGAAAAATAAAAGCAGACTCTCGATAAACTAGTTCACTGTGAAATCGATTCGTTTGATTGTCGACAGTCCACTGGTCCAGCAAGTTGGAGTGGTTACTTTATTGATTGAACGCGGAAGATGCAGTTCAAATGATGCTACTCGCGTAACTACATATTTTTCGCTGGGATCACCATACAATCCCTACGAATGTTCGTCTCAGCTTGTCGTCAAAACACTTCAGCTCGCAGGTTCGGAGTCACGTGAACGTGACTGGAAACGCTAAAATCGCTCGCAGGAATGCTACTGATACTCGAATTGCAGTTGTCGTTTCAGTGCAGTGGCTCAAGCGCAGCTGGGAACTCAGAGCGTCAGGAAAGATTCCGGGTACGACGGTGCTGCGAGCAGCATGGTGGTTCAGGACCCACTGGAAGCGAACTCCAGTCCTAGCCCGAATCCACGAGGTACCTCGGCACCGTCCTCTTCCACGTCCTCCTCCCCGCCACCTAGAGGTCCGGCTCCGAGCTCCAGCTCTCAGACCAAGAAGGACGGCGCCGAGACGAACAAGCAGGAACTTAAGAGGCTCAAGAGTACCGGTACCCTTCTACCTCTTCAGCTTGGCCGGACTCCGAGCGTCTTGTCTGGTTCGTCCACCTGTAAGAAGGATAAGAAAAACGCGGCCTCAGGCTCGAGGTTCACGATATACAAGGCTAACAAGGCCAGCAAGAAGAAGAGGGAAAAAAGCTCGGCGAAAAAGGAGCGCAAGGCCACGAAGACGCTGGCCATCGTTCTTGGTACGTCGCATTGATTATCTTTTATCGATGTATCATTTATTCTATTGAGTTCTACTGTCGGTAAACGTAATGAAAGTTACATTATGGAGAAATTGGTATCGATCCTCCGTATTAGAAAAATCCTTCGAAGATTCTGTGAATTTTCTTACTTTTGTTAACGAGCAACGCCACTGTCTCGTTAATAATACTTGCAGGTGTGTTCTTGATCTGTTGGCTACCGTTCTTCACCTGCAACATTATGGACGCGCTTTGCACGAAGCTCGAGGCTACCTGTCAACCGGGCGTCACAGCTTTCATCGTGACCTCTTGGCTGGGATACATGAACAGTTTCGTGAATCCCGTCATCTACACTGTGTTCAATCCCGAATTTCGCAAAGCCTTCCACAAGCTGGTCAGCTTTTAAACGGGCGATTCCGTTCACAATTGCGTTTGTCTTGGAACAGGGAGAATCGACAAGGCACTGGACAATCGAACAGCTCAACATTTGTCCCGGCGAAAGGTACGTAACATACATTTTTCCTCTTCGCACATCACTATTTATTCTTTGGAATTTTTGTGCATGTTCCCGATGAACTGGAATTTTTTTCTTTTCGTCCACGTTCCATATCAAAGTAATCTAAGAATAAAATAACTAGACAATTTTTGCTCACTTTTAAAAATCCAGTATTCTTTCCTAAGCTTCGTAATTAAAGTCATCGTATTATCGAAGAGAGAATTAAATTTCACGCCATCCTCATATTGTCCATCAGAGAATCAGACGACCGGTAATACTCTCTACGCAGGCGCATCCATCCGTCACGCGTCACTGTTCGAGTCCCTGGCGATGTCAAATCAAAGGTAACGTGCGTCAATGTTAAAGCTGAATTACCAAACGAATACTTAGACTAATTAGTCCGATAAAAGGAGCATCACGGTATTAGGCACGCGATAACGTGGATAAAATGTCAAATGGAATAGTCACATGTATTTTTACCATGACACGACTTTTCAATGTTATTTGTCTGGTAAATAATTTTCTGTTAATTGCATCTGTTGATACATTTTCGCCTTCGTCGAAAAACTTCGAGTAGTGTCATCTTCGAAATACATGTACGACGAGAACATCGCCCGAGCGGATTTGTCCGAGGTAGCGAACATGGCGTTAAAACGCAAGGGTGATGGAGCGTGTAATCGACGAGCGAGCACACGTTGTAGATATTATACTTCGTTGGATATTAAATATGCCGTGGCAGTATTACCGTAGCTCGTAAGATATAGCAATATTGTTTGGCTCAAAGCAAAAGAACCGAGGACGCCAGTTCTACGATGAACTGTTCCACGACCTGTACATTCGCGAATGCGATTCACTGTACTTATATCGGGTACCTTGAAGTAGAGAAGGGCTTGACGACATTGTTATTTATAAAATATCGATTAAGTAAAATTTATTTAATCGAAAAAGAATTACGTAGTGTTACATTTATTCGCGCAAACTTCGTCATTTTTCGTTACGTACGTTTTAACCCCAATTTTATAAACAATTTCATTCGATGAGTTATCGACAAACAAAAAGCCTGTCTCTAGTTCGAAGTACCGTCTTCTTCGAAACGATTCTATTGCCATTTCGCCAGTCGAGCCGCCTGCAATCGAAGTGCACGGCAGATCGAAATGCAAGTTTCCTGGGTTCTCGGGTCGCGAAACATGAGCTTTTCGCCAACTTTGCAAATCAACACGGAGACTGAGGGATCGGAAACTGTGTTCTTCGGTCTTTTAGAACCCACCCCCGCGCGGAGAAGGAACAGAAGTTTCACTCGTCGAACACGTCCGATACACTCCGTAACCATTTTAACTTTCAACGCGAAACCGTCCCAGAATAGCGTAGCTCGAGTTACTTATTTCTCGGACCATTTGAATTCAAACTTTTCTCGATATATTCAATTCGAGGAAACTTTTAAGAAGATCCGCTTTATCCCTGTTTTCCTTCAGTGCCGCTTAAGGACAAACACCGCAGTCACGATTTCATAAAATCAATTTTCCCTTTCGTGTTCTTTACTATCCAACCTTGCATAGAAGTGAAACCACTAAACTGATTGACTTGAAGATTCAACGGTATAATGTTCTCGCTGTATGTACAAAATTTCGTTTTAGACAATCTTAAAAAGATCGATGTCTTTTAAAGCAACGTGGAAAGGTGGTGCTTGCTGTCAATCATTTCCGCGTTATGTCGCCGTCGGTTCGAGCCTCGATCAGAATTTATGTACCGCGTATTGCGCGTTAACTGCTTCGAGCGTTCCCGTCCAACACCGAGGAAACGAAAATCGATATACGAGAAAGGCGTCCCCGCTCGTTTTTGCCTGTGCTACGAACAGCGCAGAGGAATTCTCCCGCGAAGATAAACATTGTACGTGCATGACCCGTTCGACGAAGCAGACAACAGGACACGAACGACGCATCGGAAATACCTGTATCGAACGTATCGATACCGTGCAGTGCCGCGCTTCTTGTTCCATCGCCGCGAGGGACCACGAAGTCTCCCACGAGCGAATTTTCAAACATATCAGTAAGAGTACGAGACACGATACCTGTCCGTACATTGGCATCCGAAACGCGTCTACACTGTCACACGTGTACCAGGGCGCGCGAAACGTGGAAGGGAAACGATATTTCTAAACCTTCAAAACAAATAGGACAAACGTACCAATAATAAACGTTATGGAAAATGTAATGTTACATCGTCCATATTAACATCGTATAAGATTCTCGATTTACTGAGAACGATCACGAAGAGTTTGCGTTTTCACGTCTGTGCTTTTTTATGGTCCGATCGTCGCCAAGGAAAGTAAATAAAATGAGACTCGATGGGCTTAACGCTCTTTCTACTTCCCTTTCCCGGCAAAACCAGCAAGATCGTGCAGTCTCTTAGTGCCGAGACAGAGTAAATATAGCCGGGAGGCGTACCGCCCGACTTCTTTGATACGATGAAGTTCCTTTTTCCGTTCGATTCGCTCATACGATACTCGAGACGGATTTCTAGCAAAATAAATACCGAGTCTTTAGCGGATAATGTCTTTGCAGCGGCGAAACTAACTCTGGAGTTTAATAACACGGAAAGTGTCGACCACTGGCGGCTCATTGCCGATTGGTACGTTTACCCTAGTTTGAGCAATTGAACGAACAAGCGTTTCGCGTGACCCGCGCTGTCGCAATAACGTCTACAATCAAAGCTTTTTACTCTGTATGGGTTCTACGAACACGTTCTATCACGTAGTCGTAAGCTTCCAATGTATATTTGTAAATAATCGTAGAGATTAACGAATTATCATTCGAGCCGCAGCGATTGGCGCTAAAGAGATCCTAGGTACACCGCAATTACTAACAAACACTAAAGGTAACGATAGAGAGTGTATCGCTAAACGCTAGGCAGAACAATAGGGAAACTTCTTCTCGATGAATTGTGATAAAGCTACCTTTTACTGAAACTGTGCGTTACGTCGTAGTTCGTTTCGGAGTGAGAGATCCTGATTACTTTCTTTCGCTCTTCGAGGTTTTTTCACACGGAAACGTGGCTGTCAGTGAACGGGTGTTAAATTTGCGTTACACGATGCAGGATCCTTTATAGTTCTATAAAACGTTTATGTGACATTCTCAACCCGTTGAGTATGAAATTATTATCGTTTGAAAATTAATGTTCTCGTTTTTACAGCTCGAAAATCACACGATGTCAAAAGAAATTGTAATACTAGTGAACGTCGTCTAAGTGATACTTGATGGGTTTCGTGAAGAATTATGAAAATCCGTTTAGTTTTGCGCGATAAATCCACTGTCGACCGACTGCAAACTTTATACTTTCGCGGTATTTAACTCTTGTTTCCGAAGAAAGCCCGGTGTAATGGTCGAAACGCTTAACTAATGACGACAATTTGTCATTGCTGCGAAAATTGCTCTTAGAACGAACGTATATACCCGATGTCTACAATTGCCGTACCAATTAGGAGGAACGAAAGACTAGCGAAAAGAAGAATTACTGTCTCATTTATACGCTTCCGCAACGCCGTAAGGAACTTTTCACTCCCGTTATTCCAGCCAGTGACGTTTTAAACGTGCTCCGATTCGCGGTAGATCGCGCCAGGTGCCATTTTACGCTGTCGCGAGATAAAGGAACCAGCCAGAGATTATTAATTGGCGAAGTTCTCGAGCTTCGCCCTCGATCGTTAACGGGGAAGCGAAAGTTCTTAGGGGCAAGGCCGGAAACACGGAAACGATTGTCGAATTTTTTCGCTCGCGAACGAACCTTTGAACCGAAACCAGAAGTATCATATTGCCATTAGCGTCTTCACCCTCCCGTACACCAATCCTTTTTGTTTCATTTCGCCGAAACGCGATAAGAAAATTAATGCGTCTTGCGAAATTGGAGCAACCGAAAACGCGTTTTATCCATTAGTTTATTGCTTCCCCTTTAATTATGTTCTAGAAAAAAGCCACACATGGAAAGCTTTTATTTTATGTCTCTTACCAACCTCCCTGTGTAATATAGGTCAGAAGTCGCGTAAAATCGGCAACTACCCCAGGTCTAGCTGCAAAACGTAATTTAGCCGAAGCGTGCTTCCGCGACGAGCGAAAGTCGACAAAGCCTAGCATTTTACACAGTGCTGATTTGTAGTATTAATTCTAAATCTTCATACAACAATTGTTTTTGTAATTTTAATTACGTATACAAAGTAGGATCCACCGATGCCTACCAATCCATCAGAAAGCCGAAAATTTGTTGTTGTTTATTAATATTTAATTGCAAATGAGTAACTGCCAGCTAACGATTCTTCTCATTTTCGGCGTTAGAAAGTATCGAGAGAAGTTCGTGTTCGAGACAACTTCCAGTGAGGCAATTGTTTCTTAATGTTCGAAGAAGTGTTTCAGAAATTTGCAGATCGATTCGTTGACAATTAATTGAAATATAGTATTTCTTCTCTAAATTTCTGAAAAACTTCTTCGAACATTAAGGAACAATTGTCTCACTGGAAGTTGTCTCAATGCGAACTTCTTTCGATGCTTTTTAACGATGAAAATGAAACTCCTGCGTAAAATCGGTGTATTTTTCTAACCTGGATACGTTCCCTTCTCTGTATATAGATATGTATGTACATGATAAACGTATGCAATGTACCTGTACACTATCTATGGGACGAGTATGGTGTGGCGCTGTACATCTGTGTAAATACATATATATTTAGTCGACGAAGAATGCGAGCGAACATGAATGCCTGCAGGAGGCTCGAGGAAAATTCGCCGGAATTCTGAAACGAACCCCGTATCACGCGAGGTTGGATTCCACCTCTGCGAGACGGGAGAAACAAAGGAGATTCGTGAAACAAATAATTGATCGAAGCGTAACGGCTAAAGTGTCCAGTGGAGAGTGTGTGTCGCTCTGGGTGCGAGAGAACTATGTTTTTCCTATGGATTTCTTAATTATTACTACGAATGGTCTATACAGGGCATAGATGTAAGCGGTGAATCTTTAATTTGCCGAGACTAACGATAAGCGAGATGAAACGAAACAAAGAAACAAAAATGAATGTCTAAAATGCTGTATGTACCGATGGCAATACTAATACATGTTCACACGCGAAACACGGACACGATCATTCAGAGACACGACAAACCGAACACACGGACACTTGTTAAAATTAATAAAATATAGTATAAATTAACGACGACTTTTCATTCTACGTGTCCCGAGTGAAGGTAAGTTTATAGCATAAGTCGTATACATATAATACAATTGCAAAACCATGCTTTCGACCATTGTCAGTATTCCGTTAACCACACAAAGACGCCTTTCCCCATATTTCTCCTCCTTTGTCCTTGCGTCCTGCGAAGTAGGAAGTCTCTAAATATCAGAACTTCAGATTCCCACTCGATGCAATTCACAGTGACGATGGTCATGTTCGAGAACTACAATCCTCGACCGAATCCAATCTGCAACGAAATCGTTTCACATCGACTTTTACGAATACCGCCGAAGCAAAGGGCGCCTTCGGGACTATGTAAGGGACTGAACCCTTGTTCTCGCAGACGTCCTGGATCGTTCACGTGAGGCCATTAACAGGCAAAGAAAAGGTGATGCAGCGATAAAACACGGAAAAGTAACGCGCAAGAAGGTCGACAGCGGAGTTTCTTCGTAATAAGAAAAACATACGGGCCGTTAGACCATTGTAGACTGAAAGAATCGCCGAGACAAAGAACAAACTCAACGATAACGTAGGTAAAACGTCGTGTGTCGGTAGTATTTGTTCGTTAAATGACATTTTCTTCGGCGTAACAACACTTTTGAAAACAACGCTTTATTTCCATGTCGTTGTAAATTATGTTACGTGTACTTATGATTAGATAACACCTACAACTAAATTATAAAACTATGAAACACTTTTCTTTTGTAGCGTTAACCTAGATTATGTTCGACTTTGGCAGTTTGATAAATATATTCCGTACATGGCCAAGTATATTGCAGTCCTTGCGTGCGTTTACCACGAGTACCGATTAAGCCCAACCTGGAAAAAAATCATAAAGAAGTTCTTTTAGTTCGGAGAAGTTATTAATATACAGAAAAATCAATTTCGTCAACGAAAGTTAAAAACTGGAAATCTGTTGCAATTAATATCCTCGTTACGCAGGCGTCTAGCTTTTCTCGGCTCCTTCCGCCGGTACCCAGACACAAACTCCTCGGGTTATAATTAATGTAAATAAGAAACTTGGAGAATGTTAAAAGCGCGTCTCATCCTTCTTGATTTACCTTTTCACTCCGCATTACTAATCCGAGCGTAAAGCAAATGTCTGCATAGTAAACTCGTGTTTTACCCAATACACAAAATGCAGACCAAGCGTCAACGTCGGTTGAATTATTAATTAAATTCCCCCATTAAATGCGAGGAGTGATGCGCAAGTTCATACCAAAATCGAGGTTTGTTAAAATTATCCACCGTTATGAAAGCAAACGCGAATAACGTCCAGATATCCCTTAGAGAAATTAAACGAAAATATAACCGATACCTTCATCCGATGGGAAGTTATAAATAATTGCGTACACAAAGCTACTGAAATTCAATATTTGTCAGTATATTTAAATTATATTTTAAATCGAATGAAAATGTACGTTATTTTACGTTACTTGGCTATCCGGTTATGCCAATATCTGAACAAATTCTGGAAAACCGATAAGATCGGGGAATTTTCGATCGATGCATAATAAATGTGACATTAATGATACACCGTATTCGGATAAGTATACCAGCATGCCGATATAACTGAAAATTCCTTGGGACGAAATCGCGAAACCGTTCCATTAAGGTATGGAAATCTCGCAATCGATGATTCGTCGTTTAAAATTCCTAAGATGTGCACACGCAAACGAGGCCCCGAACAAACAAACTTTCATCGCACGAGTATTTGTATAATATTCCTCATATCGAGGGGGATTTTTCTTCAAAAGCAAACCATCGGGCTCGTGCAAAAAGACTTTCTGATACGCGAATCACCAGAGTTACGCGATGCATAACCCGATATAAAGTCTAAAGCTCGTACACGAAGAGAATCACGAATTGCTTTTAGAAAGTTGAAGACATTCCAACCGCGACAATTTTAACTATTTCAAAAAATGAAATTGCCAAATTAAATTCAACGCCCAATTAAAATTTAGTGTTACTTAGTCAGAATTAGAGGAGGAAGAAAATTTCTTCGGCGCACCTGTGCTACCTTTCCAAAAATTGTTCTCGTTCGGCAAATGCGGTTGTTCCGCAGCCTCTCGAGACCAGTAACGCGCGTAATTACTCGTTGAAAATTTACCTTGGAGAAGCTGGTGTCGCGGTAACTCCGGCATACTTAAGCCCACTTTCGCGATGCCGAGCTCCAGTGGCCGTGGGGCAGGATTACTCGACCGTAAGGCATAATCCATCCCGCCGAAACCGCCCAGCTGCATCTGCAATCCTGCACAGAACCACACGGGTTTCGCGGGTTACATGGTAAAAGCGAAAAGGAACGATTTTAGACACACCTGTCACTAGCGTGCCTAGCGATGGTACTGTCAGAGAAGCACTACAAACTATTCTATTAACGCAAGTGCAACATTACAAAATGGAGAATTTTATTCACCGTCAACTACATCAATGTACATGCCAGAAGGTTCATAGTGAATTTATCAAATCAAATTAATCTCTGAAGGCACACCAGGTGGCGAAGGTCTGTAGGCTATAACCCCTAAAGCCCCATCCTTAGTGCTGACCTGTTAGGTACACATGAATCGCCCAACAATATTACGATTAAAGGTTTCAACCCTTAGCAAGGATCCTCGTCAAAGTCTTAGTTTATCGAGGATTCATAAGGAAAGTGTTGATGCGTTAATTTTTTTAAAAATAGGTAGATATACTCTCCCTTTTTGGCACACACTTTATGTAACTGAGATTCTATAAGGAGCTCGCAACATCGTTCGATATTAGACGCGTGTCATGACGTCTCATCGTTAATAAGCGTCATCGTTAGGCGTGCGTAATCGCGCGCGATCGATATACCTGTGGAGTACGAGAGCGGCTGACTTCTTGTCGCTTCGAATGGCCGCAGCTGGCCAAAATGTTGGAAATTCTGAGCCAAGTTCAAAGTTGGCATGCCTGTGGAAACGCCCGATGAGAGACTGCCAGGTATGCTCGCAGATATGCCGCTGAACCCGCCAGGTAGACTGTTGAATACGTTCGTAGACTGGGTCTCAGAGATGCTCTGGGGCAAGCCGGAGGCTAGCGTCGCACCTAAAACAGGAACGCGCCATTCTGTAGGTGCGACAGACATTTGTACGTTATGGAGCACGCACCTGCCTAACATAAGTGACAAATTAACCCTTCCGAACATAGCTGTAAAATTTCGAGAAAAGTATATTTCACTTTTGCATCTTTAGAATTTTTTTGACATTATGCTCCAAATTTAGAAGTATCTAACTTTACGTTGGTACAAGCACTATTTCGGTCGATACACGTAGACTCCAGTTCAATGGGGCAGCGAGGACTTAGAAACAATGACGAAGGTTCGTATAAAAATGCCAACTTGAAACCGAATCCTTTCCTCTTTCATCGGCGTATAACTTCTCGGATACAGTGTGCGGGCTTTACGTTCCCCGAACTCGAAGCCACGATAAAAAAAAAAGTGGGGAAAATGGAATCGTGGCCCGCATGCGGATGGCTTCGGCGACGATGGAAAGAAATCCATCGGAATTGGAGACACGCGGGAGCCCGGTGACTCGATGGAATTTTGAAAATTATAACCGTGTCGGACCGGAGTGGAAAAGTAAGACCGCCAATAAACTCGACGACGACGTGACCGCGACGTTCGAGCTGCCCGGATATAGAGTTAAAAAGATTAAATTTTTCTCGATATGGTCCCTCGGGGCGCGTTCGTATCTAACGATCGGGGAACGATTTGTTCGGAATTTTATCGGTTCGTTGAAAGCAGATACGGGCAGAATTTTTATACATATAACAAATTTGAAGTCGTGGAATAAAATAACCATGGAATCGATACCGTCGCTATTGCTATATGTTTCATTTTGTTCGTTAGCAACTGTTCGAAAGGAATCATACCTAAAGGGATATCAGAAGACGTCTGCGTGTCTTGAGTCACGAAGGTGGGTACTCTGGGCATCGTGGAAACGTAGTTTATGGACTGGATCGGTCGAGAAACTGTTGACAAAGTTGAGATCGGTATATTTGGCATATGGAGCTTCGGTCTCTCGGCCAACGTGTTGCCCAGCGGAATGTAATTCAGGGTTTCCGGTGAGGAAGATTGTTGGAACGATAAACCACGATTCGACTGAGACTGCAGCAGATAGCTCAACAGAGAGCTCTGCAAGTTATCCTTTAGCGCGTCCTTCGATTCCTGCGGAAGCACGTAGCTCGATACAGGACTCTGAATCTTGTTCAAGCTGTTGTTTAACACGTCTGGAAGCGCGTAGTTCAGCGGTAAATTTTGAATCTTGTTCACGCTGTTGTTCAACACGTCTGAGAGCGCGTAATTCAGCGGTAAATTTTGAATCTTGTTCACGTTGTTGTTCAACACGTCTGGGAGCGCGTAATTCAGCACCGAATTGTGGTCGTTGTTTTTGACAGAAGCTTTCGCCTGCTGCGACAGCAGATAGCTGAGCAAAGACTGCTGGAACTTGTTCTTCAGGCCGTTGGGGACGTAATAAGACGCAGCCGGGGTGAACCTTGACGGTGGGAACTCGACAGGAGTCATCGGCCTGTAAGAAGAATCAAACGACCTCGAAACGCACGGGATTCGTAAATGTGAATACTAATTTAATCATGCGGAGTGTCTTTCGCGAGATCTCCGACCGTTTGGCTGTTCAGCCGTCGGGAAATAACGTTCCCGCTCCGCGAACAGTGGAGAATACTTCAGCGTTGAAATATCTGGGAGTAACTGTTATACCCGGTGCGGTGGCAATCATAGTTCAACCGCAAAACGAGGTAATTCTTCGTGCACGAATAAGTTTGTTTACGAAGTAGCGAAATATTTCATCGAAAATCATTTTCTTCTCGGTTGCATCACAATTGACTCAACGCTAGGTAGAAATACTAAAGACAATTCGAGGACCATCTCTCGAGAACAGCGAAACAACCGAAGAGAAATGGTCGCGATCAGTCGAGCAGGTAAGCAATTTTGACAGTGCCATTACGTACTGTCTTTCGAAGGATATCAACGGCGATTCCGTGGTCATGACAGGCAAGCTGGCCATCGTGGGCATAACTGTCGATGGATGAGCCAGGTTCGAAGATTGCTTCGAGGTGACCGATGCGGCTGGTACCGTGGAAACTGTCGGCGTGGGAGGGTTGGTAGCATCGGAATCAGCCAACTGAAAGCAATTACCAACTTTTATTAGACCCTTTAAGACTCGCGGGTGCTACGTCGCTGGCGTGGGTCCGGTTCGAAAAGTTGTAAAAGGATCGAGGTATCGGGTGATTGAAAGTTCTCGAAAAGACCGTAGGACGGAATTTCCCGTTGATCCCGTTTTATCATCGCGTCAAAGAAACGACGTTAGAAGATCATTGCAACGAGAATTTCCGAATTTGTAATAATACGACAAATATTTTATTTTACACAGGAGGCGGTTTAATCAAATTATGAAACGCGCTGCAATAAAATGTGTCTTAAAACGAGGAATTAAAGCGACAAAGATTCGCCAACGTTGAAAGTGTATGGAAATTTTCCGCGGCATTTGAATCGAGGGAAATGGGACAGATAAAGCTAAGAGTTTTAAGAAGATGATCCCTCAGAGGTAGACCAAACACATCCACCGACCAAGAAACGCTAAAGAAAGTTGGAAATTCCATTGAAGTAATTCCACGATAGAAGAAGAAACAATTTGTAAAGATTCTTGGGATCTTAACCGATGTTCTCGGAATATCTTGAAAAAATCAACTCAATGAGATCGTATTCAAAAATAAAATGTTTGTTCTATCGTGGCGGTGTTTTTCGGTGATGTTTCTCGCATCCCTATGTAAACCGTAGTGGAAGCGTAGGAGAAGATAAAAAGAACAGGGAGACGTGCTAGCAGAGCTGAATGGCAAGGTGTCGACGTGCTAAGAGTGTATTTCGCTCACCGTATCGGATTTCACGCTTGGCATTGTCACCGGTAAAGCCATTTTCGGCTGGGAAGTCACAGACGTATGAAGTCGGGTGATAGTCTCAGCGGTGGTTGAGGTTGAGACAGTAGACTCTTGCAAGGGTTGAGCGGTTGGCGACGCCGACGTCGGTGTTGTCGTCGTAGTAGACGATTCCTCGTTCAATGGTAGAGCGTTCTCGTAGGGTGAAACCGGTGGCATGGAAACGTAACCGAGACCATGGTTTCCTGAAGAGCAAAGTAATCTTTCCTTTGTACGCTGCGCAGAGGTGGTTGTTTCTCACACTTTTCGAACATGTTTTATATTTAAATCGATATATATATATATATAGACAATCGTTTCGATAGTATCAGCAGAATACGATCTAGAATATGTTCTGGGATCTAAAAACCATTTACCGTGCTTCAAATACTCTTGATCCCTACCAAAGGACTCCGGTTGACTATACTTTTGATCTTTGTAAGAGTTGGTCAGCTTGTCGTACGAGTCTGAGTACCGAACATCGTCGCCAAAGGGTTGGGGTTGGTAAGAATACGGCTCGTTCAGTGCCTGGTCACGGAAGGACTGCTCGTTCAGTGCCTGGTCACGGAAGGACTGCTCGTTCCTGATGACTGTGTCTCGATCCCTGTACCGGTGGTCTCTGAACGACGTTCCGTCTATGAAGAACGAAGCCTGTCCCTTTAAGTCTGGCCCGTCTCGATAGGACGAGCTGTCCCCGTAGAACGGTCGACTTCTCGATGACGAATAATCTCTCAGGAACGGCTGATCCCTGAAGGACAGTCGTTCAGGATACGACGAAGTCTCCTGACGATAGTGTCGTTGCCTGTAGGATTGATACGGTTGCGTCTTGAGCGATTGCTCCCGGAATGGCTGATGTTGCTCGTGGAAAGGTGGGTGTTGCCTAGTTCCTTGATAAGGCGGGAAGTCCTCTAAAGGTGACAGGGTCCTCCTTTCATCCTTGTACGCGCTGACAACCACCGTCATCGCGATGATTATCCCCTGGAGGAAGAAATTAATTAGCGATCATTCCGTCGCTGATGGATGATATCACGGTGAACGTTGATTGACGTAACGACTCACCAGTTTCTTCATTTGAATTCCTTCAGACGAGAACTTTCCTCGGCTAGAAGACTGCGAGGTAGATCGTGCTACACGTGAAAATCGTCTGCAGTCGATCGATACCATCGACTTTCTTATATAGTTACTAAACGAATGAAAAAGCGAATCGCGTGTCTCTTCCACGCGCTCTTTTCCCTGGTTCTGTGCGTCTTCCAGATCAGGTACGAAACTGGATCTAGTAAATCACGTATATCCACGCCTTTCTCCTTCTATACGTTCTCCTTCTATACGAGGTTCATTGCCAGACCCGCAAAGGGCGCGATGTGTACTCGATCAGTCAAGACAAACTTGGAACGCAACGCACTACGCAACGTTAACCAAACGTTAGCCCATTAAATTTGTTCATTTCTGAAGATATATGCAAGAAGAAAATATATCTTATTCGTCGTCTCTATGGTACACCAGATCTCAACAGTTTTAGGCTGATTCTTCTCGTAAGAAGAAAAGGCAATTTTAAGCTTCATGAAGATTTATAGTCGACTGCTAAGAATATGTGTCGAATACGGTTACATGATAAAGTACCCATGGAAGGTTTAACAAGTCACCCTTCCGTGTACAACAAGGCTGTCATGTAAATCGATTGAATTGCAACCGATCTCTATTGAAACTGAAAACTTGAGCCATGAAATTTTTCATATTCCTTTCCGGAGGCAATCGATCTTCGATAAACGTCTTAGAGTGAGAGTGTTAGGGAACGTGTGATATACGGGTGTCTTAAGGTTTCCGCCAGGAACCACGGCGGGTGCTCGAGTGCACGCTGTTCGACTTTCAAGAAGGCAATAGCGAGGATAATAGGCGGTATACGTCACCTGTGTTACGTACGTTCGACATTACTTTTCGTATAAGATGTAGATAACCGAGGAGTGCAAAGTTCGCACGATCGATAAATACAACCCGCTACGATTGGATCGAATCGAATGCGAAATATCGAAAGCTTGAATATTCGAAATTGTCGGTCTGTGAAATGATTACCGCCGTTTATTTTAATTCCATACGCGATAACGTAACGAAATTAGACAATTTCATTGGAATATTCGGTGCATTCATCGACACTCGGACCCATCAAATTGCAGATCATGTCGATAAGGTAAACCTATCCCATTAATAAACCAACATTTGGATAAACGTATAATTACGAAAGATAGTTGAAAAGAAATAATCGAATATCGTTGTACAAGTGCGGAGGGTCCGATCATTAATTGCGCGTCAAAGCTTCTAATTTTCCGCGTGATTTTGTAATGAAATAATTATTAAACCGCGTATTCGTGTCATTAAAAATTGAATCGATGATTCCATACATTGGCACGTTCGCATGGAGTACGATAATAAAATAAATCAATAGTAAACATTACCTCCGTCGCGACCGAAATTGTTATGAGTTACAGCATGGTCTCGCCAGCGACAGTTTATTATAACGCAATGGCAATGTGTTTTCCCAGTAATCTAATCACAAAACAGATAACAGGGGAATGTAAACACAACGGGAGAAATTTACGTAAACGTCAAGTAGTTTACAAGAATTAGTTTTCCAAATTAAACGTCACGGTGCCTCTAGCAAGAAGATTGTTTAGAATTTAAATATTTGTTACGGAAATCCCATGCTTCTCGGACTATTCATTAAGAGATTATTCGTGTGCGAATCGCGTCAAATGAGGAAAATATTGCGCGATATCAGGATGCATCGTTTGCAAAAATTAAATTACAAGGCACGTCGTAATTCGCCGAGGATGAACGACGCCACGCAAACTAGGCGTCCGAGAAACTCATGCATTCCATTAGTGCTAGCTTCGCAAAGTCCAAATTTGTTAAGATTTTACGCGATACACAGCGAAACAATTTCTCTTATCTTCGACAGCCACGCTCCGACCTTAATTAGCAAATATTGCTGCACAGCATTCGATCGATCTTGACTGTCGAAAAATCGTTGGACCATTTTTCATTCTAAGCAGTGTTGGAGGATTTCAAAGGAGTGGCAATAAATTTCCTCGATATTGGGAATAAATATTCATGGTTGTATCGTATACCAATTAACCAGGTTAAAGCGAATCCTTTATATTCATTCCATTGAGAATCCAAAAAATGTATTAATTTTCAAGCCAGCGTCATTCCAAACGTTCCATTCATTTTCGATAGACGTTCGACCGCTATGTTCTCTAATTGTCTTCGAAACAAACAGTAATTTAGTTAAATTAATATTTTCCCATTGTTGGTATTGGTCAAACCGAGGTAAACTTTTCGATTGAAACGAGTAATAACGCTGAGTGCGATACTTGGTTAATAATTTTATGCCATACCACAATTCGAATAATCATTTGCATTAATATTGTTCGATTATCATTTATAATCAATGGAATATATACGCTTGCAAACGTTGCTCGGTAAAGGTGTTGTGTAACAGATTTAACGTTAAATGTGTTCGTAGGTATACTGTATGCGCTGCGAACAGTATTGCACACAGATTCTGTTTGGAAAGTAAAATGGGATACCATTTTGCTTGTTTGCGAGCTAACAGCTTGTGTATATAATTCTGTGGATTCGCATGAATCATAAGTTTACGATCGAGATTAAACCCCTCCAAGACCTAGTTAGGAAACAGTACCAGAGATTTACAAACGATATCCTGATGAAAATTCACGAATGCCATGTTTGAAGAAACAAGGTTCTTCGCGCGTCTGTGTAACATTTACGAGTAGAAATTTAGTCGCCTTTCCAATGTATTTTTCTTAGTTTAATTATACTTAGTTTAATAGATGCATCGAACCGTTTACAATCAAATTTCCATCGCTCCACGTAGAGTCCTATCGACGTATTCTATCTTATTCGTTATTATATCATTCGTTAATTACTTCAACTTGGAGTTATCTGATCTCGTCGATGAATTTTTCGAAAAATTCGAGGTAATTATCAAAAATTAATGGGTCTGCATATGCATAATATCGGCAAATGAAATGCTTTTTGAGGGTAGCTACGTTTAATTAACCGATTCGATCAGGTTTTTGTGTTTCGTGTATATAACGCGTCGAACTGAGGGAAAATAGGAGGAAATTATTTCTAACGTTTACAGAACGAAGAAGCACGATATGGGTTTCGTTATCTTTATGAATTCGCGAATGAACATGCTGCGCGGTTAATGCGATCATTTTCACCTCTCATGGAGTTAGAACTTTAGCGCACTGTCTAAAAGTTCCACGAGGCATCTCTTATTACCTACACGCAATAGTTGCGTGAAACGTTCCATCATTCTAATTAATCTACCGTTCGGATGACTGATTTCTGCTAAAACATTCAAACGTTAATTAAGGTATCTGTCTAGTCAAACTATGTACGGGAGAATTAGTGATGTTTGTTGTTTGTTTAAGAAAACTAGAACTGTCCTAATATTATTTCCAACAATATTGCGTACCAATTAACAATATTTCGAACGTTTTTCAGCGTTCAATTAAAATTGAAATGCTCGGTACAGAATCGTTGTCGAAATACGACGATTTAATTTTCGAAGTAGGTCTTCCAATTTGTGACGACATGTTGCTGTTTGTACAATTGATTTCCAATTGGATAAAATGTTGATTCCGCTGCGGCGATCGCGATATTTTTAGCGCACGCGCACTTGTGAACCCGCGATGGAAAAGAAAGAGGCCTATCTGGTTACTCAAACTTTCACGCCAAATAAGCATCGTGGAACCGGACGTCGGTGGACGGAAAAATTGTAAATTTTATTACCCAGACGACACGAGCTCGCTTCGTAAAATTGAGATTCGAGAGTCGCCTAATTGGACGTTTTGATCGCTGTCAAAATTGGCCAGTGCAAGTATTGCTCGACCACTGGAGTGCCCTTTTATCGTTGACTCTCGGTATTGTGCTTCCTAATTAACGACGTGTTGTGTTACGGCTGGCAAATAAACCTGACTAACCGTTCAAAAAAAAAAATATATATATATATGACAAAGAATAGCGAGCTTTTGCCTTTCGAGGTAGCCAATATTCTGTGTAAACTGCAGTGTACGTATCGTACCCGAACAGGAAATGTATACCACAGCTATATGCAGACTCTCTCAAAACACACTATACTATCCGAAAGGAGCGGTGTTTGTCGAACAGTATATATTGCCCAGAAAACCAAATAAACAAACATAAATATTAAATATTGTTCCATGGTTGGTAATAAATAAAGCGCGCAAATTGAATTTTAGCTTATTTAACGTATATTTAGAGCGCAGGTGTGAATCTCGTATTCATACTGGTTGGATTTGATGAACTATATACTAAAGCAACGAATACCGTACGAGATATATAAAATCAAATACAGTGGTTGTTTCTGCGAAATAAATTGGCTTCTTTTGGCTCGAATCACGTATTTTGTAACAAGTGTACAATCCTAGATACAGTAGAAAACATGAGTGTGTAGCTTAAAAAACGATCAACGTTAATGAACAGGGAGTACACACATCTCTTTTGTTGAGCCGTGTCTAAATCATTTTTCCGCCATTCTCGTAACAAATCAGAGCTGCACGAGAATTTGACGCAACCTCGCCACAAATCCACTACACGTGCAATTCATTACCCCAGTATTTTGGTACAACTTCGCGTACGCCAGCCTCGCGTGGATCGATACTCTTGTTTTATCTTACTTTTTAACTTTTTTACTCGACTAGTACCTCGATACCGTGTGTGTGGGGAGGGGGGGGGGGGTGTGATTAACTCGAAACGAAAAATGTATTAGGACAGGTATTTTATTGCCGCATCCTATTTATTTAACGCGAGTTGGGTAAACACAAAATGTCACCGGAGAAAATTGGAAATATCAACGGTACATCGAGTTCGTTCGCGCGGAATCGATTAATTTCGACTCCCTCCATCGTGATCGTAATCGAGCTTTTTCGCCATCATTTTCGTTGCCATTATTTAATTCCCCAGCAGCCAATATCCTCGGAATATTAACGCTGACGTCACATGACCATTTCGTTTCCATGGGATCAGCTTCCCGTCGATTTCTGTGACTCTGGTTTTCACTCTCCCGTTACTTTCGTTGTTGAGTCAAACTTCGTTCGAATCT